TCTGGAATCTGAAGTTCTGGAGAAAGAAATGGTTTTAGGCATAGCTTCTGGATTGCCTATAGCATCTAGCATAGCGTTAGTACACATTAGGTCAAGAAACACTTCTTGCGTTGAAATAGAAAAATAGAATAGTACCTGAGGCATAAAGGATGGTTATAAGGTGCAAAGGTAGGTGCATAAGAATGAAGCAAACAGGTTCTGGTGAAAAAAAGGGTGAAGAATGAAGCAGTCAGAAGTCTGCAGTAGTGAAGACAGCACTAGTAAATCTGGTTTGGGGATTGCAATAGCTTGGACGCCAAAGAAAAACTTGAAAGACGAACTGTAATTGCTGCAGACTGAGATCATAGTAGGTCATTCCAATGCTGTGGAAAGAGCTCCAGTAAAGTTTTGACAACTATAAGGTAACTAATGAGTCATAAGAAGAGAAATGTGATTGCCATCAGCTATAAAACTTCAATTTATAGGATTCTTCAGGTAGAGTCTTCGGATGAGAATTAGCGTCTTAGTCAAATTACTCTTTGCAGGACTCCACACAAAATTTAAATCAAAGCCAGTCTTGCCAGCTCTCACATTAATCCAATTCCCTTCTCTCTCTGCTCTCCCAGTCTTCCCCTGCCTACTCAGTTCCATTAAACCCGTAAACGTGTGGGAAACTTTGTCAGCAAGTCTCAAGTTTTGCACAGATTGGTCCTCTCCTAAGAGCATCCATTCGGACAGGTGACAGATCCTGCTTTTCCAAACAACCATATGGTCGCGGTTGCAAACCCAGGCCCAACTCGTAGGGTGCTCCCTGCCGCGCGCCACCCACCACTTGCTTGTCGCCTTCCACATCTCACCTCTCCTCCCCTCCCCTCCCTACCCCTTCCAACTGCTCGGCACCCACGGGGGATCCTCGGAGTCTACGGGGTCAAGAAGGGCGCCAGCACCGGCAATTCATTGGCCAGCTCCTGGAATTGACAAGACATGCAGCCAATGAGAAAGCAGTACCGGGAAGGAGCCGGGTAACATGCTCAAAAAGGGCCTTCGAGAACGAGATTGGGGCGGAAAATTCGGGCTCTCCAAGCACAGGAAGTCAGGCGATTGGTGACTCTGAGTCAGTGGGGCCACAACTCACCCACGGCGACAGCGCCCATAACTGCATCACCCCTAATGGGCTTTGGGCTGAGCAGCCAGCTCCCTCTTCCTCGCGGTGACGAATAGAGAGCGTCAGAACTGAAGCCAGAGTGACCCTTAGAAATCAACAACTTCCGGGACGTGGCATTATGGGAAATGGCTCGGTCCCCAGTGTCCCCCAGCTGTGCGTTTGTTAATCTGCGCCTGCGCACGGCCCGCCCCGGAAGTCTGGGCGCAGCTACAGCGCAGTGTTTGGTTGTCAAAGACTTCCTGCTCAGGTGTTTGGCTGTCAAACACTTTTCCTGCTCAGGTGTAACTATGAAGTTATTTAAATACTTCTAAAATGTGGGTACCTCCTGGTGGTCTGAGCCTTTGAGTCTCCAGGACGGTTACCTTTCCTAAGCACGTTACATAGGAAGGCTGGCCAAGAGGAGAAACATTTAAATTTCTTTTAGTTCCCCTAATCCTGTCAACTTCTATAATTGACTATGTAAATTGTCTTGAATTATACTTACTGCACCACATCAGAATAAACAGGTAAAACTCTAGAGTGAATTTTAAAGCAGAACTGAAACATGGTAAAAGAGAAATTGCAGGAGGTAAAATGTTCAAACATTTGTTTATTCGTTGAAAATATTTTTCTCACTAATGTTGATTCTTCACTGAGGAAAAAAAAATAATAATAAAGAAAAGTAAGAAAAATAAAAAATAAATGAAAATATTTAAGTGCACACTTTGTGCCAAGCCCTCTCTGAAATGAATTGCACATGGACCTCTCTTCCCTGGAGTTTTAATTTAATAGAGAAGACACAGTAATAGCTACCAAAAAAAAAATCAGGTCTCAGAAGAAAAACAGGCAAGGGCTGTAAACAGGTAATTCATCATAAAAGAACAATTGGTCATCAAATAAATGAAGAAATGCCCATCCTTACTAGTAATCAAATAAAAGTAGATTAAGATAGCAGCATAGTAACCCACCAAATTGGCCAGAGTAACAATTGGTTAAATTTGGGGGAAACTGGCTCTCCTGCCATTTACTGTTGAGACAATTTAAAACTTTCTTCTGGATGGGCGCGTGGCTCACGCTGTTAATCCTCGCATCTGCGAGCAAGGCAGGGGATTCAAGGTCGGAGTCGAACAGCGCTGACCAAGGAGACCCCCCTCTCTACTATTAACAGAAAGCTTAATGTGGGCCACTATTTTAGAACATTAGCGGCATGGTGGTGGCGCATTGCTGTGTCCATATAGGAGGTGAGGCAGGAGGATTGCTGAGCCAGAGTTTGAGGTTGCTGGGCTGGCTGATGCCAAGCATCACTGTAGCCTGGGCAACAACGTATCTGTCTCAAAAACTAAAATAAAATAAAACTTCTTCTCTGAGCTCCAGCCACACAGGCTCGTTTTGGTTTGGTTTGTTGGTTTGTGTCCCTATTTCTTTGATAGGCTTTGGTATTGGTACTGTTCTACTTCTCGACTGCTGCTCTTCCTGGATCTTCCATGGTCGGTATCTTATTTTCATTCTATTTGCAGAGCAATATAAGGAATGTTTGATCTACTCATCACATGTTACAGCCATTTCATATCCTGTATTTTATTAATTTTTACCTTTATTTTCTCCTCATATACGCCTATGAAATATAGCTCTTTTGGAAGATTAAGGACATTTTGTCGTTGTTGTGGCTATAATTCCTACCAGATGCTGGACCGTAGTGTTATTTACTGAAAAAGAATGTATCATTGACAATTAATACTGTGCACGAAGTCTTCACAGCAGCTTTTTCATAGCTAACTGGAACAGCCCCTCAAAACAAGAATGGAAAAAGTGGTATATTCATACTATGAATATCTCATTACATCAAAGAAACTGATCACACTGACATAGATGTTTTTAAATATGTATATCAAGTCAAGAAAGCCTGTACACAACAACTCTGTCATATGACCATATGAGTTCTAGAGCCTATGGTTAATCGAAGTGGTTGTCTCTTGTGGGAGTTGGGTGGGGACTGACTAGGAAGGAACATGAAGAAACTTTGCTGGTACTGTTTCTCAATTTAATACGTTTGCGTTACGACAGGTGTATGATTGTTAAGACTCAATGCATTTTAAGGACATGCATTTTTATCTCAAAAAAACTTAATTTGAATTGCAATGATATACCTGATGATGTACCTAGGAGACTGTATATGTCTGCATGTTATTGGAAGTATTCAAAACATGCTGGTTAGTGGCAAGCTGGTCCATGTTCCATGATAGTCTGTGATCGGCAATTTTTTCTTTGGACGTATCACCTCTGTTGCCCGGTAGAGGCCATATCTCTCGCTCACACGCTCAATCCTGGGTCAAGCAATCCTCCTAGCCGTTGGCGCCTCTTCGGAGTAGCTGGGCCTATGGGCAGTGCCCTGCAGCTTATGTTTTTGTTAATATTTTTAGTGCCCATTACTTTTTTCATTTTTAGTAGAGCGGGTCTCACTCTTGCTAGCTGGTTTTGACTCCTCTATTTGGCATCTGCCCGTTTGGCCTCTGGAAGGCAAGGATGCTGGTTACATTGAGCCGCGTGCATCGGCCGGTTGGATAATTTTTTCTCAATATGTAATTTTGAACAGAATTGTTTGTTTTTGAGCGATCTTGCTTTGTTGCACAGGTAGAGGAGTGCTGTGGCTGCTGCTTCACGCAAACCTCCAATCCTGGGCTCCGCAATCTGTGCCTCAGCCGAGTAGCTGGCCCTATGGATGCCCATGCGGCTATTTTTTCTATATATTTAGTTGAACCAATTACTTTTTTCCTATTTAGTAGAAGACAGGGTCTCATCTTGCTGAATCTGTTCGAACTCCGCTCCGCGATCTGCCCGCTGCGGCCTCCAAGAGTGCCAGGATTACAAGCGTGAGCTACCGCGCCCGGCCTGAAACAGCAAATTCTTTGTTGTAGGGGGATATCCTGTGCATTGTAAGAGTTGAGCAGCCTTCCTGGACTCTATCTACTCAATGACAGTAGCATCCTTCCAGTTTTGACAATCCAAAATGTCTCCGGACATTGCAAAATGGAGAGGGGAAAATCTTTTCTTCTTCTTCCATTCAGAACTGCTCCACTGCTTCACTGTAAATTCTCTCAACTTTGCTTTATGTTTGAAATTCTTCAGAATAAAAACTGAAGGAAAAAGAAGTAAATTATATGACTTTAAAAATGCTCATGAAATACCAAGTAGAGGATGCATTTTTTTGAAAGTTTGCAGTGATGATATCTAATATCAATGAACATCAGTATTTACAAATCGTATGACATTAAAATTAACCTGTGACATAAAGAAGAGTGTATTGCAAATAATTGGGTTGGGGGAAAAAAAAAACATTTCTAATTACTCTTGTGTTGGAATCGCCTTCAAACTGTCCTTTTATTACCAGGGATAAATCTGTGCATTCACACGGTTAATCCCTCCTTGGTTACTGAACAATACCTAAGGCCGCCAAGGCCACCAGCCATTTACGCTCACGTGTCCCTAAAGTCTTCCAGCTCCACGGTTTAGAGACAAGGAAGATCATCATTGTATGGGAAAATATTAAAAATGCAGAATCTGGGACCCCATCCCTACCTACCGAATCGTGATCCGCATTTCAATAGGATCTCCGGGTCCGAGTTTGAGGAGGGTCACTTTAATGGCCCAATCCTTGACCCAGAACAGTGCCTGCTATACTCGACAGTGGCAGCAGCTGAGAAATGACGATGGGGTTGGGATGGAAAGGTGTAAGAATGAAAACTCTGCGACTGAGAAGCAACTAGCGCGACCAAAGAATTCCCTCAGTCGCTACAAACCCGGATGAAAACACAGCGCCGCATTCCCAGGCCTACAGGTCGGGCTGCTCTGACTTCCGGGCCCTGCAGCCTCGCGCGCGCGCATGCGCCTCCCGAGAGTGAGCTTTCTCAGTTCCGCTAGCCCGCCCCGCGCGGCGGTTTGCAAGCTTCGGGTCGCCGGACCCTGGAATTTTGAGGCTCCTCCCCTGGGAAAATTGAGTTGTCTGTGCAGCCAAGAAACCAGGAGTTACAGCAGCGAGCGGAGTACGACTCGAGGTGAGTCTTCCAACTGCTGGCACCACCGGTAAACGAGACAAGGATTTTCCGACGCTGTGGCGACCAGTACCACATGCCCGGAACTTGCCGAGGTGGTGACACCGCCTTCCCTCGCGCTACACATCCGCTGATTGGTGAGAGCTGACCCGGCGTTGTCCCGCCCACCCTGCCCGCTCCTCTGAGGCCCTATCAGGTGTTAGGTGGCCGACGCCTGCGCGCTGGGGACCTAGGGGGCGTGTCCCTCCAGCCCTAGGCAGTTCTTTAAAAAAAAAAAATAGCGAGGAAAAGGAGTTATTTCACTTAGGAATCTCAAGTTTCAGTCAAAGTTGTTACAGCATTCTCTGAAATCTTGAGTCAGAAAATTATCTTGAGGGTCTTTTGGGGGACTGAAACCTCATCAACGAAAATAATTTGACAAATAAGTGACTTATAACACGACTCCCGTAGTTGTCAGTTCAAATGTTCCTCCATCCCACACTTCTTTGGTAGTTCCATTTCATCTTCCAGACCCCACACTCAACAGGACCCCCTCCCAACTTCTCTCACTCCCTAAGTGACTTTAAACAAATACATAGCTTTAAATAAGTGTTGATGACAAACAAAATTATATCTCCAGCTAAATCTCTTACACTCCATAATGGTATACCTAACTGCCTGCTGGACATCTCTACTTAATAGGTGTCTTAAAAGAGACTTCATTATTGTTAGGTCCGGAACTGAGCGAGCGACAGGAGGCCTCATGTGTAGCAAAATGCTAGGTGTTTTGCTTTGTTTTTGTTTTTATATTTTTTGGAGCAGATGGGTGGAGGCAAAAAAGCATCCGCAAAAGAAAAGCGGAGAGCCTTGGTTGGGTTTTATAGAGGGTTTCTGAGGGGAGGGGGAGTAAGTAAGTGGGCCAGAACGACTGCTTGTAATTAATTCTTTTTCAAACAACCAGCTCCTAGGACACCTGCCCCAGTCACATCCATCCTTCAGCTCCAGCTGCCTCTTTATCAGGAGAGAGAGGGAGCGATAAACTTCATCCCTATGTAGGGGGGGGTAAGGCCAGCTATGCTGGCCGTAGCTGGCTGTTAGATTTACAACATCTGGGAATTCTCCAGACTCCTGCAGCTATTGTTTTACAAGCCTAAGTTTTGCATTAACCACATTCTGTCCTATACATACTTTTCGGGTTGGCTTCAGATTTCCCCATCAAAATAAATGGCAAATCCATTCTTTCAGTATCTTTTTTTTTCTTTCAAATTACAGATGGAGTGTGATTTCAGTATCTTAAAACCTAGGAGTCATTCTTACATATCTCATATAATTCATCAGTAAACCTTGTTGGCTCTGCTCTCTTTGTCCACAACCTGAACATTGCTCACCACCATGACCACTGCAAGCCTTATCCAAGCCACCATCATCTCTCTTCAAATCATTGCAGTGCCTGTCTGGCCTTCCTGCTTTCTGCTACAGTATCCGCCATAACAGCAAGTGTGGGTCTCTTCATAAGTCAAAACCCTCCAGTGGCCTTCCATATCTGTCAGGATAAAATCCAAAGTCCTGGCCATGCCTTACAAGTCCCAATGTAAACAGCCCCACATTTCCTTGCTAACCTCTTCTATAACCCTGTTCCCAGCTCACTCTGCTCTAGGCAGCTCATCATCTGGCACCCTTGAACATGCTCTCCCCTTTGCTTGAAACATTCTTGGCCAAGGTAAACACATAGCTTCTTTCTTCAGTTCAGTCTCTTCCTCAGAATTACCTTAGAAGAGGGCCTTTCCTAACAACCCTATTTACAATCTCACTTCCTGCTGCCCCACTGTTGTTTCTTATCCTTCAGGTTTCTTCATAACAGTTATCCACTGGGTCTATATATTTGTATTTTGATCTCATGGTCTCCTCCCACTAGATTAAACCTCTATTACAGCAGAGATTTTTCATTACTTTCATTCATTGTTTTATTCTTAGTGCCAAAGAAAACACTTGAGTATATTGGGTGTGCTTGAAAAACATTTGTTGAATGAATGACTAACAATAATAATAATAATAATAATGATAACAACAACAGAAAGCACTCGTATACCACTCTGTTGTCAGGCACTTTCCACACATTCTCATTTAATCCTCATAGCAACCCTCTTATTCCCATTCTGGAAATGGGGAGACTGAGGCATAGATAAATTAAGCCACTTACCTAAAGTCACACAATTGGAAAGTGGCAGACTCAGGAGTTGCACTTTGGCAATCTGGTAACAGAGTCCATACCTTAAACTACTGCAATAAAAAACAAAGTAAATTCACATCCTTTAATAATTACCTAATGAGTTGTTCCTATATTTCTCAACTGCAAAACAGACTAAAAAAGATGTTTATGAAATTCTAAGTCTAGGAATTTTAATTTTTAAAAAAGTAACATCCAATATTTAAATTATGATAGCAAGTGAAAATAGTAGGATGTAAAATTATATGAAGTCAATGGTTAGTAGAGAAAACATTGTTATTAAAGGAGGGAGGAATGTTTGCAGTTCTAACAGTTATTTGAAAATGATAACTTGAAATTTTTAAAAATATTAATAAACATGTTAATAAAAAAATATCACCAAGGCTACCCACCATCTTCTATGAAGATGGTAATATTTAAACTACTTAAGTTAGATGGCAAAGCAAGGAATCCTGATCTATTCTGTGGAGAGGAGAGCTAATACCATTTGGCCTGGAAAAATATGTTCTGGAGTCAAGTAGGTTTGGAATACTCAGCATACTGAACATCCCTCTTGGAAGTTCACAGTGCATTTGGTCATCTAACAAGATTTTGAGAAGCGACATGTAAAAAGTGTGCCCATATAATCTGTTGTCCAAATAGGGTCATTTTTGTCTAGGATAAATACTAAGCTAGTCAAGACAATAGGATGACAGCCATAAACCAGGATCATGGCAGGCTAAGGAGGACCTATGGTTACCTTAAAGAAACCTGTTTAACTTCATTGTCATTCACCATTTCAAGAGCTTATTTAAGCACAAAATGTTTTCTGTGATTTTTTTCTCCAGCATGGCATTGACACCCTGGTAAATAGTGTCTTAAGGACATCAGTTGATAACACACTGGGATTAGGAATGATGTAATGTTGACATTGATTTATACTTGGATCCGTGGAGACAGTTGAGTGTGTGCAAGAGTGCTGCTTATTTTCCTGATTCATGTTCCATTAATCCTAATGAATGCAACACCCCACCACATTTACTCATTCCCATAACACTTAGTGTGCTTTTGGCAGGACCCCATTGCAGTTACTGATCTGTCACCTGTGGATAATTTGCATTTCATTTTAAGTGGAAGAACTTTGTTTGCTTTTCAAAAATTCCATACAATGAACTAGCTAAATTGTTGAACAAATACCATTTCCCGGTATTAAAGAAATGATCCAACTATATGGGATAAAATAAAGAAGACTTGAATAAAGGGAAAGACATATTCCTAAGGGGCTTGATAATAGGTGATCCAAGTCAGCCTTTGTGAATTGGAGCCACTCTCAATGTGTTGGCATTTTGTGCTGCCAAGTCTTTAACAGCCAGATTGTAAACTGAGGATAAGTTCACACCACTGAGTAGCTGTTAAGAGTGATCAACTTGCCTTTCCCATAGGAACCTAACACGTCCCCACTCCTTCTTCTTAAGCTGCAACACTGGTGACCAACCACTGATTGTGTGAACTTTTTCCTAATAGACAGGGCTCTCTTGCCTACCTTGTTAGACCTCTGTTAAAGCAGCACATATGATCACTGTAATGAGTGTGGAGTGTGAATTGACAAAGAGACATTGCAGGGGTCCTCAAACTTTTTAAACAGGGGGCCAGTTCACTGTCCCTCAGACCGTTGGAGGGCCGGACTATAGTTTAAAAAAACTATGAACAAATTCCTATGCACACTGCACATGTTTTATTTTGAAGTAAAAAAACAAATGGGCAAAAACACCCACATGTGGCCTGCGGGCTGTAGTTTGAGGATGCCTGCATTAGAGGCAGAGTCCAGGTAAGAAGAGTCAAAATTCTGGCAATAAAAAGACACACATTCACCTTTGAAACTTTGTAGAGACTGTTTGATAAAGGGATTGTTTACAAAGGTGTGGCCAGGTTTAAAGGAACCATTACTACCCCTAGGTCATTAGGGTCTGCTGGAACCAGAAGCTATGGTCTTCAAGGATTATAACTATTGTCAGAATCCCACCAAAACAAGGAAGTAGTAGTAAAGAAATACCCTGGCCTCTTTGTCCTCCCATCCTCCTACTTCCTGCCAGAGCATTGTCTGAACCAAACACAAGAAAGGCAGAAGAGTCTAGTGCTGTATGCTATGGAGGTCAGCTGTCCAGAGTCCTGGGCAGGAAGAAGAAGGACCAAGAACGGGATTAGGGAACAAACAAAATAACTAGCACAAGAGAAAATGATGCAAATGATGAGCCCCTGAATTAGGCCTTGGTAGTTGGAATTGTGAGAAAGGGACAGGTTCAGGTTTATTCTGTTTTCCTCATGTTCGGGGGATAAAGCCCCCACCACTAGTTATACCACTTTTCTGCCTGGAAGACATTTCTTTCTGAAGCCCTCTGCACTAGGCCTCCTCTTCTACTTATCTAAGTTCTCTTCTTTCAAGGTTCAGCTCAGATCCTGCTTCTTTCCTCATATCTTTCCTGGTGGCCCACTTCATTGATCAGGCCCTCATCTTAATCCCCATGATAATACCTTTAATGTTCATTTAACACTGAGCTTGTTATTGTTCTGTGTCTTATTAGGTATACATCCTGATCCTCAGACTAAATAGAAAGCTATAGGAAAGCATGAAGCCCCATGTATAGTACTGCTCAATAAATCCTATGGAGGATGAGAAAGAATACCATGAAGACACCACTGTCCTAAATAATTGTGTTTGATTTCACAGAGTAAAATCTCTTTAAGAAGGTAAGCCAAGTTTTCTTTTGCAGCAATGAGACGATACTCTTTTTTTTTCCCTACTGAATTTAGAAGTACTGCATGCTAATGATAAAACTTCAAACAATATAAGAGCACACAAATTAGAAAGTGAAAGTCTTTTCCTTGTTCCCTCAATCCCATTTAGCCAACTGCTGTTTGGTGAATTCACTTTCTGAGTATTTTCATGCATATGTGATCATGTAAGAGTAATATCATACTATTTATATTTCTCTGCAATCTACTTTTTTCAGGTAGCCATATATCCTGAACATCAATGTCAATATACACTTTTTTTTAATAGAGGTAGGGTTCTGCTTTGTTTCTCTAGGCTGGAGTGCTGTGGTATTATCATAGCTCACTGTAACCTCAAATTCCTGGGCTCAAGTGATCCTCCCACCTCACCCACCTGAATAGCTAGGACTACAGGCAATCACCACCATGCACACCTAATTTTTTTTCATTTTTTGTAGAGATGGGGTTTTGCTATGTTACCCAGACTGGTCTTGAACTCCTGACCTCAAGTGATCCTCTCACCTTGACCTCCCAGACTGTTGGGATTGGAGGCATGAGCCACCATGCTCAGCATCAATGTACTTTTTTATTGACCTCATACTTTTGATGTATATTTATTAAGCTAGTCTTCCATAAATTATTTCTGTTATTTTTCTTATAAGCAGTGATGCAGTGAACATCTTTACGTGTTTATATGCTGTCTGATTTATTTCTTAGGTAACCTATATATGATTGAGATTGAGATTTTTAAATCAGCTCTCCTTATAACAACTTTTTCCCCTGTGGCATTTACGAGGCATTATTTTTTTTCTCTTTTGCTAAATTGCTAAGTTAAAATGTTGTAGGAATTTCCACTTTGGGACAAAAATGGAGTGTAGACATAGACGTATTTTTCCCTATTCTTTCTGCTAAGTACAACTAAGAATTTTGAACACTATACATAAAACAAACACAAGAAGACTCCAAAATGTAGAGAGAGGAGGGAAGACTGGCTAGAGATTTGGGGACCAAAGGAAGGACATGGTGGTGACTTTTCTGAGTATGCTTTTTTGCCTCAGATATCCCAGACTTGACACTGAAGAAACAGCAAGCCAGAAACATCAAGGGTACAAAGTATAAAAAAATAAAGCCCTAACAAAAGCCTACTTTCTGCAACTAAAGGACCAAGAAAGAGGCAGCCTAGCAAAACAGAAAACATTTAGACAACAATTGCTCTATACCAGGCAAATACCACAGAAAATACTGTGGTCCTGCGCATATCCACACCAGCAAAGGGAACCCAGATTCCACCCTCGTTGAACTTTACGAGGCACTTCAATCCCCCTAATCAGGATGGTATCAGGCCTTTCCTTCCCAAAAGGCACTAACAAGGAAGGACCCCACCACAGTGTCAATGTCAGACCCATGTCAGGTCCATGTCAGACCACATGGGAGCCAGTACTTCCACCCTGATGCAGCAGTAAAAAGGCACCCTAGTGGAGAGTCAGAACTTTGACCACTGTCTGGCATTAACAAGGCAACCCCCCACCGTGGTGTCAATGGAGGCCAGCTGGGGAGTGATAACAAGGTATTACTGCTAGGGAGTTAACATTAGAGGCCTACTGTGGAGTCACATCTTCCATCTCCACCCAGCAATAATGAAGAGCCCCCTCTCCCCTACCTCAGATGCCAACAAAGAGTAAGTAGGGAAGCAGTGCTTCTACCCCACCTGGCAGTAACAAGGCAGCACCCCTTTCCCTGCTATTGGAGTATCAGGAAAAGCATACTAAAAGAGAAAATTTAATAATATCCAGAGTCTCCTAACATAATACCCAAAATGTAAAGTTTTATTGAAAAGTCATTCATCATACCAAGATCCAGGAAGATCTCAAACTAAATGGAAGAAAGCAATCAATACATGCCAGCACCAGGATGACAGAAATAATATAGTTACCTGACAAAGATCTCAAAACACCTATCATAAATTTTTTTTTTTTTTGAGACAGAGTCTTGCTTTGTTGCCCGTGCTAGAGTGAGTGCTGTGGCGTCAGCCTAGCTCACAGCAACCCCAAACTCCTCAAGCAATCCTGCCTCAGCCTCTCGAGTAGCTGGGACTACAGGCATGTACCACCATGCCCAGCTAATTATATATATATATATATATTAGTTGGCCAATTAATTTCTTTCTATTTATAGTAGAGACGGGGTCTCGCTCTTGCTCAGGCTGGTTTCAAACTCCTGACCTCGAGCATTCCACCCGCCTTGGCCTCCCTGAGTGCTAGGATTACAGATGTGAGCCACCATGCCCAGCCATAAAAATTTTTTAATGAACAATTACAAACACACTTGAAACAAATGAAAAAGTAGATAGTCTCATCAAAGAAATGGAAGATATAGGCCGGGCGCGGTGGCTCACGCCTGTAATCCTAGCTCTCTAGGAGGCTGAGACGGGTGGATTTCTCAAGGTCAGGAGTTCAAAACCAGCCTGAGCAAGAGCGAGACCCCATCTCTACCATAAATAGAAAGAAATTAGCTGGACAAACTGATATATATATAAAAAATTAGCCGGGCATGGTGGCCCATGCCTGTAGTCCCAGCTACTCGGGAGGCTGAGACAGAAGGATCGCTCGAGCCCAGGAGTTTGAGGTTGCTGTGAGCTAGGCTGACGCCAGGGCACTCACTCTAGCCTGGGCAACAAATCGAGACTCTGTCTCAAAAAAAAGAAATGGAAGATATAGAGAAAAACCAAATGGAAATGATAGAAATGAAAAATATAATAACCAAAATTAAAAACTCAGTGGATGGACTTAACAACAGAAGGAAGGGGACAGAGGAAAGAATCAGTAAACTGGAATATACAATAATATGAATTACTCAATCTTAACAGAAACCAAAAATAAATAAACAGAGTTTTAGGGATATGCAGGACTATAATAAAAGATCTAACATTCATGTCATCAGAGTCTTAGGAGGAGAAAAGAAATAGGACAGGGTTGAAAAAGTACTCGTAGAAATAATGGCTGAAGACTTCTCAAGTCTGTCAAAAGATATGAACCTACAGATTGAAGAAGCTGAGCAAACTCCAAACAGGATAAACCCAAAGAAATCAACACCAGTAAACATCATAACAAACTTCTGGAAACTAAATAAAAATAAAAAATTTTGAAAGCAGTGAGAGAGAAATGAAACTTACTTGTAAAAGAAGACAATTCAGGCCACGCATGGTGGCTGCTGCTTTGGGAGGCCCAATCGGGAGGATCACTTGAGACTGGGAGTTGAGACTGACCAGCCTGGGCAACATAGCAAGACCCCATTTCTACACCTATAGTCCTGATTAACTAGCCAGGAGTTTGAAGTTGTAGTGAGCTATGATGACGCCACTGCACTGTAGCCCAGATGACAGACCAAGACTCTGTGGAGAAGAAAGAGAGAAAGAGAAGGAGAGGGAGAGAGGGGAAGAGCAGGGAAAGGGTAGAGAGGAGAAGGGAGAGAGGAAGAAGGAGAGGGAGAGGAGAAGAAAACAAAGAAAAAAGAGCTTTAAAAAAGCTTTTTTAAAAAAACTTAAAGAAAAATTCTATGTTATAAACGTCATTTTCACTACATTCTTTAGTTTCAACGCAATTACCAATTTTTCTTGTTTTCTAAACTCAACAAAATTATTCTAATGCTTATGTAGAAAAAAATAAACATCTGAAAAGAACCAGGAGAATTCTTTTAAAAATTCTAGAGTGATGGCTATGAAGAGATGGAGTAGGAGCATTTTACTAACCCATCATAGTGATTTGAAGAATTTGAGTTGTAGGGCATGATATTGCAGACAGAACAGTTTAACAAAACACATACAGGCATTTAATATATATTGAAGGAGGAGGCATTTCAAATGTATTATAAGGTATATTGGTACAAATGGCTAGCCAACTAGAAAAAGTTAGGCTGGGAACTTCTCCTACCTTTTAAGCCAAAGCAAATTCCATATGGATTGAATCTATTTAAATGTAGAAATAGAAAATGTAATATTCCAAGTTAAAAATAGAAGAATTTAAAAATAATCTTGGAATAGAGAAGTCCTTTCTAATCAGGGCATAAAATCCATAAAAGAAGAGCTAGGTAAGATCTCTTCTAGAAATGTATTAAGAATTTTTTTAAAAAAAGGAGCAGGGGGCTAAATACAAATTTTAAAGTATGGCAGCTTTCTGGAAGGCAGCTTGGCAATATCTATTAAAATTTGAAATGTTGTACCTGTTGATCCAACAATTCACCTCTACAAGTTTATCCCTGAATATACAATATTATATTTTACCACACTGTATAGATCAAAATAATTTCCATTATACAGTTCATATTAGCAAAAATATGGAAACAGCCTAAGTGCTCATCAGTAGGTAAAGAGTGCAACAAATTATGGCATGTCTATATGATTCAGTATGACAGGCAGCCATGAGAATGAGATCACTGTGTGGTGACAATGCATAGATTTCCAAAATATACTTGGTGGGGAGGTGAATAGAAAGTAGGAGGAAAAGAGTTTATATGATCCCCTTTGTATAAACTTTAAATATGTATACTATGTATACCTCACTCCATATATTTACATATTATGCCAGCATGTATTTTTCATATATGTATATGTATAATGCTTAAAATTTTTTCTGATATAAAACACCAGAAACTCTTAGCCTTGGATTAGAGACTCAGATGGGTGGGGGAGGAGGCCCCAAGCAGGAGACTATCTTCCTTTTTTAACATTCATTTACTATTTGAATTTTCTAACCTTGTACTTTTTGTTTGACTGTTAATGGATTACTTGAGCTATGGGATAATTTGATCTTTATTTTCCCTTCTTTACATTCTTCTCCTTAAAAACTAATAGACACTGATATTTACTTAAGAAGAAATTAACCACCCATATAACTAAATTCTCTTATTCTGTTCATTCTAGGTTTCCAATGTAAGTTGGTCATATGCTGTCTTCTGGCTATATTAGTGATATAGCTTTTTGACTATATAGTTGGTCTACTTCAATGAAATTCTTCATTGTGGTAGCTGAAGATGCCAGATCAACTCTCTAGATACAGAGGAATTTGGTGCCTAGTTATTATTAGGGTTTCATGGCTCTCACAGGATTGTCCCACATTTTTGGTCTTAGCATATTACATCTGAAAGTAGAATAATGGGGAAAGAGATTAATTAATTTTCACAATTTATGAAGAAATCTATTACATTTTTATTATGTATCCATGTTAATCTATTAAGTTCTTTCAAGATTGTGTATGTAAATTGTCTCTTTTCTCTTTACCTCCTTAGAAACTTATGGTTGTCCAAAAATGATTGAGATAGAGCAGGCGGAGGCCCAGCTCTCTGAGTTAGACCTGCTAGCCAGTATGTTCCCTGGTGAGAATGAGCTCGTAGTGAATGACCAGCTGGCTTTAGCAGAACTGAAAGCTTGTATTGAAAAGAAGACAATGGAGGGGCGTTCTTCAAAAGTTTACTTTACTATCAATATGAACCTGGACCTGTCTGAGGAAGCAATGGTAATTCAATTTTATATTTGGAAGAACTAAAATGTGTCATGGTTTAAAATAGCACTTAGGGCCGGGCGCGGTGGCTCACGCCTGTAATACTAGCACTCTGGGAGGCCGAGGCGGGCGGATTGCTCAAGGTCAGGAGTTCAAAACCAACCTGAGCAAGGGCGAGACCCTGTCTCTACTATAAATAGAAAGAAATTAATTGGACAACTAATATATATAGAAAAAAATAGCCAGACATGGTGGTGCATGCCTGTAGTCCCAGCTACTCAGGAGACTGAGGCAGTAGGATTGTTTGAGTCCAGGAGTTTGAGGTTGCTGTGAGCTAGGCTGACACCACGGCACTCACTCTAGCTAGCCTGGGTGACAAAGTGAGACTCTGTCTCAAAAAAATAAATAAATAAATAAATTAAATAAAATAGCACTTAGGGCATTTTTCTTCTTCTTTTTAATCAGGTGATGTTTTCTATAGCCTGTATTCTTCCCTTTAAGTACCCTGCAGTTCTGCCTGAAATTACTGTCAGGTATGTTATAGGCACTCTTGCCAACTTTAGAGGTCAAAATTAATCTGAGAGTAAAAGCAATGCTCAAGTTTTTCTCTTCCAAGAAAATTGATTTAATTTTTTCCCATATCTTTTCCATCAGATCAGTATTATTAAATAGATCCCAGCAGACTCAGCTGAACACAGATCTGACTGCATACCTGCAAAAGAACTGTCTTGGAGATGTCTGTATATTGAATGCCACAGAGTGGGTGAGAGAACATGCCTCTGACTATGTCAGCAAAGATATCTCATCTACCCCCATCACAGGAAGCACAGTCCAGTCAGTCGATCTCATCCTCACCAGACTCTGGATCTATAGCCATCATATCTACAACAAATGTAAAAGAAAGAATATTCTGGAATGGGCAAAGGAGCTTTCCCTGTCTGGGTTTAGCATGCCTGGGAAACCTGGTGTTGTTTGTGTGGAAGGCCCACAAAGTGCCTGTGAAGAATTCTGGTCAAGGTTTGCTTTCACATTTTTTATATATCATGTCAATAATTTTAATACTAAACAAGTCATAGTCATGTGCTACATAGAGATGTTTTTGTCAACAATGGACTGCATATATGACGGTGGTCCTGTAAGATTATAATGGAGCATACATAGGAACCTGATATATGGCACTTGATATTGGCATTGCAGATCAAGTAGAGGAAATGATTGACATTCAGTAATGGCGCTGAGGCATTTCACATGGGTTTTCCATGTGAAAAATGTATACCATCTAGATCTGTGCAAGTATGCTCTATGAATTTTGCACAATGACAAAATAGCCTAAAGATGAATTTCTCAGGATGTATCCTGCTGTTAAGTGATGCATGACTGTACTAGAGATGTGTAAATAAGTATATCCTGGGAGTTGTATTAATATTTTTATGGGAATTCAATCTCAAGTCAGTGAGTAAGGCATAAATCCTATATGGTAAGCATTTTTCCCCTCACCTGCCAAGTGCACATAGGAGACATTGTGTAAATACATGTTGAATGGAGCCTCTGCCCAGGACCCTGTCTACCATCCCATCTATTTCCATGGATCTGATTCTTCCTCAACTTAGTGATGTCATAAACTGTACACCCTGTGAAACAAGGGACTTTCTGGAAGCATTAGAATTGCTGCCAGTCTTCTCATTTGTCTACTGATATCCTACATGAGTTTCTGCTAAGGTCCTTCAGTAATTTGAGATTCAGCCATTTTCTACATTTTTAATATACTGATATGAGACATTAATAAGGGTAATAAATGAGTTTGGGGATGGGATTATGACCAGAATCACATTTGGTTAAAATAAATTCCTGTGAGATAAAATCAGGTTTTTTACTTCTAGAATAAATCTGTTTTATAACTTCTGCTTTCAGTGCTTTAGAATACATAACACATTTTGATAATTTTTTCTTTGAAAATTTCTTTTCAGACTCAGAAAATTAAACTGGAAGAGAATTTTAATTCGCCATCGAGAAGACATTCCTTTTGATGGTACAAATGATGAAATGGAAAGACAAAGGAAATTTTCCATTTTTGAAGAAAAAGTGTTCAGTGTTAGTGGAGCCAGAGGAAACCACATGGACTTTGGTCAGCTGTATCAGTTCTTAAATACCAAAGGATGTGGAGATGTTTTTCAGATGTTCTTTGGTGTGGAAGGACAATGACTGAGTAGAAGAGTAGTTCAAAGTATTTTGGCCTTTTGATTTTTTCCCCCACTTTTTCTTTAAAGATTAAGTAATCTTATCTTAGCTCCATTGTAGAATGCAGGGGAGAAAAACAAGAAAAAGTAGTATAGATGGAATGTATCTGTTAAAAATGTCATGATTGTTTCCATTCTGTGTTTAGCTAAAAAGAAAAAAAAAAAATGTCATGATTGAAAGCAGAACTGAGTTTCAAATTACAATCTTAAAATTATTGATAGAAATTTCTTGACATAATAAACTACCCATTTTGAAAGAGAAATTATCTGTGAAGGTAACATTGGTGTCCAACTTGACAGTCATTCCCACCCCCCTTATCCCTTACCTGCCTCCACTATACAACCTGGAAAAACTAATTGCCCATCCTCTTAGTCTCTTTTACAGCTACAGGTGGCCTCCGGATTTCTGGGAAAACTTTTGCTTCCTGATTAAAGTGATAGATGCAGCTAGGCCACCTCTTCCAGCTCTTTCTGAAGTAACAGCTGGAGCTGGAGTAGTGCTCTCAACCACAAGGGAAGGAAGGGCCAAGAGAACCATTCTTGGTGGCTAGGCCCCACATGTTGAGCTGCTGACCCTGCCTATCTCTAGAGGTCTTATTAGGAAATAAAACTATTTTTTATTTAATTTCTAAGCTCTTTATTAGTTAAAAGGTAGTTTATCAAATAGTTTTTTTTCAAAGCTTTAGTTTTGCATGTACCATTTAATATACAAATATGTGAAGTTTTTCTTAAATGGAACTTGCACTTCATTTCTATTTTTACGAACTTATGCTCTACACCTGTTCTTTGGCTTGCCTCACAGAAGGATGAGGCATGAGTAGAACATGAACTTTGTTTTAATAGGCCTCAGAATTTCATCACATTAGTAACTTAGAGAATTCATTTTTGGCAAATTATATTTAGACAAATTTTTCATTCTGGAAGTAGCTTTCTATAAATTTATTTTTGGCAAGTTGACCTAGAGGCAAACAAAACACTACTTGGTTTTTGAGGCCCTCCATAAATCAGTTCCAAAAGAATTCATTAAATATTTACTAATTGCTACCACTCAGGTTCCTACCATGTGTTGGATACTTCTTAAAGAGTCAGACTTGGTTAGGGGAATGAAGTTGGGGTGAGATATGATACATTGTTTATCTTAGTAAAAAGTCGGAGGCAAACTATGTCCATCATTAAGTGAATCAATAAGTCAAATAGAGCATATGATATGTAATACAGTGTATTATAGCAGTCACAGAAAGTAAAATGGAACAAGGCAATGTAGTAGATCTTATAAGGTGGTTAAACACAAATGAGAATCAGAATGGTATTTGTAAAGCACAGTGCCTGTATTGGATGAAAGTCCTTAGATTTTCTGCCCACCTCCATTGGCTCTGTTAGTTGCCCTGGAAATCCCAGTTCTTCATTGACTGCCATCCGACAGCCAGATGGACTAGCTGTGTGTCTAGAGTTTCTGACTCCTCCAGCTACCACCGGATTTGGATTAAATACCCCACAAAACATGGTATCTGACATCCCTAGAGACCACCAAAGGGAGCAGACAATGCGTGTATTACTTTATTTTTATTTTTTTTATAAGCCTGGAATTTAATGTCTTTACCAATAAAAGAATTATACACAGACAGTCCCTGCTTTATAATGCTTCAACTTGGATTTTTCAATTTTACAATGATTTTGTCACCATATTCAATGCATTTTTGACTTATGGTATTTTCAACTTACAATGGATTTATCAGGGCATATTCCCATCATAAGTTCAAGTGCATCTGGATTTAGGATGGTTCAACTTAAGATTTTTCAACTTTGCATGTATTACTTTAAGTAGAAATAAACTGCTATAACTTTATCAGTCTTTGTACATTATCTTAAAAACCACATTGCTATGTATAATACATAAGATCTCAAATGTAACATAAAAACAGAATGTAATAAAGTAGCTTTATAAATTTTCTCCCTTGAGTCAGACCTCCTGTCAAATTTAGACACTTAAGATTATTAAGCCACAGTAAGCAAGAGAAGTACAGATTTTCAAATCTCATGATTAGCAAATTCTTTGGAAAATCGATAAACTAGTTAAATGTTACAGTTTAAGCAATATAGCTTTTTAAATTTGTTTTTTACTAACCACTATACTAACAAGGAGCAATATGGCTTCCTTAGACATCAATGATTATATACTTGATATGTAGACATCTTTAAATATAAAATTGTTCGGTATGATTGCAAGTGTATTTGTTCCACAATGACTATTTGTCAATGTATTGATCTAATACATACTTTGAACTGGAATCATCCACAAAAAAATAATGATAAATCCTGAAAAACAGGCCGGGCGAGGTGGCTCACCCTGTAATCCTAGCACTCTGGGAGGCTGAGGCGGGCGGATTGCTCAAGGTCAGGAGTTCAAAACCAGCCTGAGCAAGACCCTGTCTCTACTATAAAAATGGAAAGAAATTAATTGACCAACTAATATATATATATATATACTAATATATATATTTTTATATATATTTATTTAATTATATAAATATAATTATATATTTTTATATATATAATTTCATATATATATATATATATATATAAAATTAGCTGGCATGGTGGCGCGTGCCTGTAGTCCCAGCTACTCGGGAGGCTGAGGCAGTAGGATTGCTTGAGCCCAGGAGTTTGAGGTTGCTGTGAGCTAGGCTGACGCCAGGGCACTCACTCTAGCCTGGGCAACAAACCGAGACTCTGTCTCAAAAAAAAAAAAAAAAAAAATCCTGAAAAACAATTAGTCTCAAGTCAAATTATGTTTAAAAGTTATGTTTTCTAAAAAAAAAAAACAAAAGTGTGGGCAGGAAACTTTGTCCACATGTCAATTTTTATTTGTAAAAGTAATGGCTATACAAATAATATTCTTCAAGTTTTAAAAAACAAAAGTCAAAAAAATCTAAAGTTATTCCTACAAATCCAAACTAGCTGAACTTTAGTCAAAGCCAGTCTTGTCATCCGCACATTAACTTGATAAATCAAACTGCATTTTCTTTAAAAAAAAAAAAACACCTGCTACAGTGCAGAACTCATGATTACTTTTAAGCACTTAAAAACTATTGCACAGCCATTTTTTAGAAAGATGTTTATCAGGAAAAGCCAACAAAATAAATCATTGGTGGAATTCCATAAAAGCTGCAAGGCAGCTAAGAGTTAATAGCATTTAACGGCAGATGGACGTATTACTTCACTGCCCCCACCCCAGCAATGACTACAACTACTTAGAACGGAGTCCATAAAAATTCAGCAAAGGTGCACCACGAGCCTTCCACCTGAGCACAGTCTGTCAATCTGATGCCATCGGGTGGGGGAGGGATGTAGGTCTTAATGTCCTCTGCCATCACCGCGAAATGTCAAAGGCGGACTTCTGCGCGGCGCAGAGCTGGGCGAGGGAAGACTCCAACTCGTCGTGGAAGCCGGTGCCTGGCTGCTCACGGACAACTTGGTGCCGCGCGGTTCCAGGGTGCTCTAGGGCCGTGACTGACAGCTAGGACTTCTCCAGGGCCCTCAGGAGCTCCCAAACACCAGTGCGCTCCACAAGCACTTTCAGAGATAAGACAAAAGGCGCTTCCGGCATGACCCGGAAGCACTAACTGGTCGGCTAGCTGGGTGTTGTGAGCGTAAGGGCTGCTGGGAAGGTCGCGTTATGGCGGCTGCAAGCGATGGGTTTCGAGTCTGGGCAAAGGCCTCTGATCCCAGGCTTGAGTGTTCAGTTGCAGACTCGCCCCATGCGAGGCTTTGATGCCGATATGGACTTTTTTTTCTCTCACATTATCTTTTGGGAAAATGGCGGTCTGAAATCTCTTGAGATTTCCCAGACGTTGCTGCAGTAGGAGAATTAGAGGAATGGTGCTTCCTGGGACCTGGGTGGTGCCTTCAACGTCCAGGGTGTACCCCGATTTTAACCAGGGAATTACCGAAATAGAGGCTTACTGTTTTTTCCCTTCGGAAGCATTTGGCATTTCAGATTTTGTAAACCTACTCTCCACTGTCCCTACCCCCAACAAATTATATATTAATAAATATATGTAATACATTTTCATTAGAAAAGACGGTCATTATAGAAAATGGGTTGTAAAATTACCCATAATCCCGTGTCCAAGAAAACAACACTAAATTTTGGCTTTACACTTTATTTTCTAGTCTCTCTGACATGCGTGTTTACGTGGGATTTTCTTTTCTTTAAAGAAATTATACTGACCATGTTGCTTTGTATCTGCCTTTCATTTAGATTATAAACATTTCTATGACATTAAATAATTTTTCAAGAACATTTTAAAGATTGCATTGTAGTTGGTTGAATAAGTGTCCTGTAACTGACTTCAGCAAGTCACTGTTTTGGTCATGAGGTCATTTCGGTTTGGGGCGATTTTTTTTGGTTTGTTTACATCAACAAAGCTGTGAGCATCCATTATTATCTCGTTAGGTTAGATTTCTAGAAGTGAACATTCGCACTTAGACCTGCAATTGCGTTGCCAAATTGTACTTGTGAAAAGTTGAGAAATGAAAATGGAGATGCGTCTGAAATTTCTTTTGCCCCAGATTATTTCCAACATTGATTATTGTTTTGCCCATTTAATAAATTAAAAAATGTTACATCATTGTATACTATCTTCATTTGATTTTTAGTGTGAGGTTAACTTTTTTGTATATACTGGTCCATTACATTTCTTTTGTCATGAATTGCCTGCTTGTGTGCCTTACTTGTTATATTTATATGGGTATCCTTAAAATACTTGTAAAATATTTTTGACATTATGCATTTTAACCTGTAGTTAATGTTACAGGTATTACCCAAATGTGTCTGTTTTTCCTGACAAAAAAAATCCAACACTTTTTAATTTAACGTATTTAAATCCATCACTCATTTTTTTATGGTTTTCTCGCTATAGAGCATTGACTGGGAAGGCTTTCCCCTCCTCTACGGTAATTTTGATATGTACCTATATAACCTTGTAATAACCTTGTTTTTTGTTTTAAAAAATCTTAGTGTGAAATAGGCATGTAACATTTATTCTATTTATCTTGCTATGAAATATTTACCCTGTTAAGAAAGGTAAAATGAATAAAAGGATGAGCAGCCAAACATACGCTGGGGAAAAGAATCCCTTTTCAATAAATGGTGCTGGGAAAACTGGATAGCCACCTGTAGAAGGCTAAAACAGGACCCACACCTTTTACCTCTCACAAAAACCAACTCACGCTGGATAACAGACTTAAACCTAAGGTATGAAACTATTAGAACTCTAGAGGAAAAAGTTGGAAACACTCTCCTAGACATCGGCCTGGGCAAAGAGTTTATGAAGAAGTCCCCAAAGGCAATCACAGCAGCAACAAAAATAAATAAATGGGACATGATCAAACTACAAAGCTTCTGCACAGCCAAAGAAATAGTCATGAAAGTAAACAGACAACCTACAGAATGGGAGAAAATTTTTGCATCCTATGCATCCGATAAGGGACTGATAACTAGTATATGCTTAGAACTCATGAAAATTAGGAAGAAAAAATCAAATAACCCCATTAAAAAGTGGGCAAAGGACTTGAACAGAAACTTTTCTAAAGAAGACAGAAGAATGGCCAACAAACATATGAAAAAATGCTCAACATCTCTAATCATCAGGGAAATGCAAATCAAAACCACAATGATATATTACTTAACCCCAGTGAGAATGGCCTTTATCAAAAAATCTCCAAACAATAAATGCTGGCGTGGTTGCGGAGAGAGAGGAACACTCCTACACTGCTGATGGGACTGCAAACTAGTTCAACCTCTGTGGAAAGCAATATGGAGATACCTTAAAGTGATACAAGTGAATCTACCATTTGATCCAGCAATCCCATTGTTAGGCATCTACCCAAATGATCCAATGACACTCTACAAAAAAGACACCTGCACTCGAATGTTTATAGCAGCACAATTCATAATTGCAAGGCTGTGGAAACAGCCCAAGTGCCCATCAATCCAAGAATGGATTAATAAAATGTGGTATATGTATACCATGGAGTACTATTCAGCTCTAAGAAACAATGGTGATATAGCACATCTTATAATTTCCTGGTTAGAGCTGGAACCCATACTACTAAGTGAAGTATCCCAAGAATAGAAAAACAAGCACCAGATATATTCTCCAGCAAACTGGTATTAACTGAGTAGCACTTAAGTGGACACATAAGTACTACAGTAATAGAGTATTGGGCAGGTGGGAGGGGGGAGGGGGAAAATGGGCATTTATTGAAACCTTAAAATCTGTACCCCCATAATATGCCGAAATAAAAATAAATAAATAAATAAATAAAAATCAAGAAAAAAAAGAGAAAGAAATAACCCTTTACAGTGTAGTTGAAGTCCACTTGTGTACTTTCGCTTATTGCAGTCTTGTTCCTTGGCAGTCTTAGAATTGACATAATGCTAATAGCTATTATGTATTCAATGCTTACCATGACTTATGCAAAATCTTTTTCAAGGACTATCTAATTTATCTTTACACAATCCTTTGAGATACATTGTTACCTCATGGAACAGATGATAAAACTAAGAATCAGAGAAGTAACATGTCCTATTTGCAGTTAATCAGAAGAAGAGCTGGGCCAGAAACTCAGATGGCATGAACCCAGAACCTACTTCTGAGCCATTGACATATACAATCTCTTATCATTTTCCCATTATTTCATTTTTCTGTACAGAAGTACCAAATATATATTTATCTTTTATGCCCTTTAGTAAACGTTTTGCAGTTGTTTTTGTTAGGGTGGAAAGCCCCTTTCTGTTTTTATATAGGAACTGTAGGTTTTATTATTTCCTTCTTATGGAATGTATTTTATTGCTACTGGGAATATACTCTTTTCTATCACATTTTATAACTGTTATTGCTGGTCTAATCAATACTTATATTGTATAGTTATTTAATATCTGACTAC